TTAACAGGTTTCCTTTTGGCAGGAGCATTTCCAGGAATGCCTTTTAGTGTCCATTAGGAGGGGACTAAGCTTAAAGGTAGGAGTTGAACTTTACTTGAGTCTACTCATTCGTTCACACAGTTCTCTGTATGTTATTCACACATTGACATAATAATAACATTCTGTTGTGGATGAGTGGTTTGTGTTGCTTAAGGAATCACCATCAAACATATTAGCAAAAGCAAGTTTGATGTAAACTTGCAAAAATAAAAAACCCCAGAGCTGGATGGCAAGGTTCACTCTATTTCTTACTAAATGGATGAAATACACAGAGGAAAATCAAGTTAAGAAGCACTTAAGAACCACTGCCTGAGATATCCCAAAATGATGTTGTAAAAGTATCAGTTCAACACAGATGGAATTTTTACACAGCTTCTGATCTAGCAGTAGTTTATTCACAACTTTAAGGCGGATCAGTTTTAAGGCAGAACACAGGACTTTAGCAGCACTTAATCATTGACTAAGTCAGACATTTACAAAGTCAGTCAATAATAGGATTTATTCTAATGACAGTAATGACTTGAGTATAGATCCAAGATGGCAACATTGCTACAAGGATATCTATATCAATTCACACATTCATGCACACAAACAGAAAGACATATATATATATATGTACATATGTGTACAAATGTATAAAGACACATGTATATGAATTCTTTAAATGTATAAAAATTTATAACCTGTTCAACGTTCCTCTTCAGTGTATCATTCATATAAAATGTCTTGTCAGTCTCCAGCAGGTGAACGTTGAACCTTGAGGATTGGGGTGTGTCAGCCCACGACCCGTTGTCAGCTTTGGGTGACGATGCTCTGAACTTCGCAAGCTTGAGAGTTCACTGGCTCTGAGAGGTGTCCCACTCAGAAGGAGGTGCTGGTGCAGCCTGTTGTGGTCCAGAAGAGCTTAAAGGGCCTCACTTAAGACCACTGCATGAAGAGATGCTTGTCTTTAGTCATCAGCAAATTTCCGTCCTGGCTTCAATATGGGTCAATAATTGCTGGAATTTTGAGAATTCCAGTAATGATGGTACTGTTTCACTCAAGCCATGATTGAGATGAGGCTGTGAGAGGGGATGATGGATTATTCCTGCTGTCATTCCCCCACAATGGCCAGACAACTGGAGTTTTAAGTAATCCATTAATAATAATGACCTACACAGTGGTGTAGTCCTAAGGAGAAATAGAACAGTTCCATTTAAGATATTCTGGAAGAATTGGAAGAATTGTTTTATGAAACACAAAAATCTGAGTTCATCCACAATCAAAAATGCTATCATTTTCAAAAACAACAAGCTATTTTGATATTTATTTTTTTTCTGGAGCAAATAAAGACCTGAGAGTCTGAAAGTTTCATACATTATATTTGGACATGTCCATATATGCAGTTTTGGCATCTGGAGTCCTAGCATAGCAATTTACCATTCCTGATTGGAAATGTTTTCTTCTTCAATGTTTGCCTGTGCTTTATAGGAGTTCTATTTTGGGTAGGTGCCTGCATTTTCCACTCTGGGACAGAAACTCAGTCTTTACCATGACCCTCAGAAGGGATAAGAGTCATGAGATGCCCTCTGGCTCTTCAACAGAGGATGATCCTTGGTGCTTCAGAAGAGATGACAGTCTGTTGAATAGAAAGGGGACAAATCCTGCCTAACTTTAGACAGTAGCTTTAATAGCAACAGAGTAAAAACTGTATTTGATGTACAGGCAATATCTGATGTGTACATAGACCTATCTTTCTCTTTAAAATTAGATACCATTTTATTTTAAACACATTCTGCACTCTTCACTAAATAAAATTACCTCCACTGTTTCCACTCAAAGTGGTGCAATGTAAAATGAGCCAGAAAGGTAAGAATAGCCAGCATATGTATATAACAGCCTAGAGAACATGGAGTCACTTGTGAGGAGATTAAGAAGCTGATTTGCAATCAAAAGGCTCCTTTTAAGGGGAAAAGTTTCTTCTTTGCTCTAAAACAAGAGTATTGAGACTCAAGCAACTATATGTCCTCCATAAAGACTCTTCTCATTCCATCTCATTTTGTTTCTCTTTGCACTTCCCTTGGAATACATTTTAGTTTCCAGGAAGTATTCTTTTTCTGTTTTCGAGACCTCCACCTCTGAGGGGCAACAGCACAAACTGAAACACAAAAGTTCTATCTGAATATGAAAAAAAACCTCTTTACTTTGAGGGTGACATAGCAGAGGAACAGGCTGCACAGAGAGGTTGCAGAGTCTCCATCTCTGGAAGTATTCTAAAGTCACCTGGACACAATGCTGTGCAACCTGCTCTTGATGAATCTGCTTTAGCAAGAGGGCTTGACTAGAGGATCTCCAGCACTCCCTTCCAACAAACCGCTCTGTGATACTGTGCTGACTTACCTGTGCAGTTGGCAAGCTCTGTTACCACATGAGTGCATAAAGGGAGAACTAAACAGGAAGTGGAAATTGCCTTTGGTAACAGTACTCCTTTTGGCATTACTCCTTTGAGAAGCACTCTTGCTTGTTAATCAGGTTCCTTAAGGCAGTGCTTGAATTCCATCAAATATCTTTGAAGTTTTGCAGTAAGAATATGCTGAGAACATCTCATCGATTTATGTACGTGTTTATTTTGGTACATAAAGAACCAGAAGAAGATAAAAAGGCATAAACTGAATACAGAAAGGAGAGGCCACTGTCAAAGGCAGCAGGAGAAAGTATGGCTGAACATTGCCAGTGTGAGCAGGTCTTCATTATAGTGCAATAATTTGTTATGAACACAATTACTGCTCATCAATTATATCTTTATATTTTTGCTGTAGTAAGCAATCAAAGATTGCACTTTTCCAATAAAAGTGGATGGCAATTTTAAATAACCTAATTAATATTACAGAGTTATAAGCAAAATTCAGCAAAATCTGACATCTTTTATGTTTGTGTCATGAAAAAGAACACAGCTCAGCAAAATATTGACTGTCATAGAATTTTCAAAGACACACAAGCTCCAATAGTGTGTGAAGACAGAAACTGCAAATATAGATTAAAAATATCAAATTCATTTTAGAAAAGATTGGGGATGTTTTCTAGTTTCTATAACCAGAGTGGAGTCATGTATTTGCTCTTGCATCATGGCTGGTAAAGGTTAAGAAACCTATTATTGATAAAATCATGATACCGCTGGATATAAATGTATTTAAATAGGCTTTAAATATACTATACAGTATTTGCAGAATTAGGTATGATTTCTAAATTCTTTCAAGCAACTTTTAGGAGCACCCAGAAGTGAAGCTGAGCACGTGCCCCTGTGACACACAGACACACACACAGAGAGGAGACCAACACACCTGGACACTCACGCTGGCACCAAGCAGGCTCTGCCTCTGCAATCACCCCATGGAGGACTCCCAACCACTGGGGCAGACAGCCCAGCTCCCTCCTCCTCCTGGGCTGGCAGGCAGAAGTCCCCAGTGTGCGACTCATGGGACACTCTCCCGGTCCCCCTGGGCACACCAGCACAGACCCTTTCCCCACCTGAGACCCTGCCCCGATGCAGGGTCCCTGACTCGAAGTTTGCTGCTTATGACACACACACATTCCAAGCATACTGGGTTTGGAGTGGGAGGAACACAAACACTGTCCCCCCAGCAACTGGCACCACACACACAGGCTGTGACCCGTGGTCCTGCTGCAGCCACCTGTGCTGAGCCCCTGACTCCCTCACTTATGCTGGTGCTGCCCAGCAGCTGCCTTTGGGAGCACCCAGCATTCCCCTCCCATGACAGGACGTTAAAGACTGCCACTTGTTCCAGCTGCTGGCACTGAATCATAAGGTTGGAAAAGACACTTAAGATCACTGAGAACAACTGTTAAACCAGCACTGCCAAGTCCACCACTGAACCATTTCTGTCAGCATCACATCCACAAGTATTTTAAATATCTCAAAGGATGGTGACTCCATCCCTTCCCTAGGCAGGCTGTTCCAATGCCTACCTACCTTTTCAATGAAAAAATTTTCCCTAATATCCAATGCCCCAATATCCGAATATCCCCTGGCACTACCTAAATCCATTTCATCTCATCCTGTCTCTTGTTATTGGGAAAGGAGACCAAACCCACCCTGCAACCACTTCCTTTCAGGTAGCTGTAGAGAGTGACTGAGAGCTCCACCAATCGAGTCCAGCAGCCAACACCACAAGCCAGGGGCATCCACATCCCTCATCTGACTCCAGCAGCTGGCACCCACTATCTGAGTCCTTGCAGCGTGCACATGCATGGGACAGTGAGATCACACGGAAGAGGAGTTAGGAGAAGATTTAAGGGAGAGTTAGGACAGACTGCAGCAATCAAGCCTCAGGACTCTGCCAGACAAGCATATTGACCTGCCACGGTTTACACACGACCTGCCCCTTTTCTGCCTGTTCCTCTTCTCTTCCTCCCCTGTACTTTGCCCCATCACTTTGCAAAGTGCCACTGCCTTCCCTCCCTCCAACATTCCAGACCCCCAATCTGCATCCTTATCAGTCACAAAGTCCTGTTTGCCCCCAGTTTCTTGGTAGATGTTCAGTGTGACTGATGAGGTTGGCTTCTTGTCCTTGTCTCCATTATGATTTGCCTGTCAGGTTTGGGTCTCCACATACATTGTTTCCTCCTTTTCCTTAGTATCCCATTTGACAAGGTTCTTGACCAGAAAATCTTACTGGAATAAAAAATCCTACATTGCACATACCCTTACCAGTTTGTGTGAGTGATCAGTTTTGGTTCTTTTCTCTGCCTCCCTTATCATTGGTCAGACAGTTTGTGTCTTTCTGTTCATGTTTATGGCTTCCTCCTTTTCTTAATATCCCGTTTTGTGTTCAGAAAGTCCTTGATCAGACACCTTAAAAGAGCAGACACTCTCCTTCCACATAACCTTACAAATAGCACATGATTGAAAAAATTAACCAAAACTGTGTTACAAAGGAATATGGAACAGAATATAGCAGAAAAAAATGAAAAACTTCTTTATTTTACAGTTATACAAATAAAAAAACAATCCCCATAGCCGTACTTGAAATAATATTAACAGTGTCAAACATGACAATTCTGACAGAATACATATCAATATTTTAAACCACATAAATTGTATTACATACACTCAGTAGCAATAGTACTGTGCAGGAATGAAGCTCTCTGTAAACGCTCTTCCTTTATTTTATCTACATTTATAATAATTGTGCTTTTCCCTACACAAAGTAACAGTGCTCTTAAAAATAAATAGTGTGCAATTTCAGAGTTATATCCTGAAATATGCTAATCTAGATCCCCATCTAAATCCTGGACATGTTTCTCCCAGGAAAATCACTGCAAAAAGTGCTAAACACTTTGCTAGACCAAACACTAAAAAAAGTACTGAACCCATGCCTGATTTTCTTCAAATTGCAGTCAATTAGAGAAAAGGTACCGACCTCAAGCACATGTTGCTTATATCGTTTAACAACAGAATGATACAGTCTTTATTACACACCAGTCGCTGTAAACCAGCCAAGATTTGAAAGGTTCAGTAGATCTTATAACTGGAGAGTCTCTCAGAGCTGTGGGAGAGAACTGTCCCAAAGCTGAAAAGTTAACAATCAAACATTTATCTATTTTTTAATGAAATACAAAAGACTCTGTCACGGAAACATTAACATGTAGCTTAATAAACAATTTACATAAATTTATCTGAATGAAATCAAGTTGTTTAATGCAAAGCTACCATAAGATTTGGAAAAATATACAAGTTCTGATGCCTTGATGTAGCTCCCACTTCTTATTTCTAACATACATTTAGGAACTATAGCTAGCAATTGATATGGCTGATGAGAGGATAAATCTGAGGAATGCTCTGAACAAAACTGATTGGCATCTCTCAGTTGTTCCTCATCAGGGCAGCTATTACAATATTAGGGATGCTTCCTTTTATCTACTATGTTAGTTGTTGAATGCACATAAACAACAGAAATCACCCAAGGCAGCTATGGAGGCTTAAGCTGTTGACTGCTGAAGGACCACAAGGTGAAATCTGTTCCCCTTTGAAGTCTCTAAAGCTAAGCCTTTGCTGCTATGCTCTGGGTCACCTTTAGGGAAAAAGTCACACAGTGTAAGTCTGTGACCATTCAGGACCTGAGGTGCCTCAACAGGTGCCTTCTGCGCCAGGAGCCCCAGGAGGTACAAGAGAAAGGTAAGAAAGTGTGTCTGCAATGACTCCACTGCTACAGCTTCCCAGCAGGTTAAGTGCTACTAACCAAGGCCATGTAACCTAACAGGGAAAGTCCTGGGCATTCCCACCTCAGGTCACCCTAGACTAACCTGTAGTTGGTGATCCCAAACCACCTCAAACCAGACAATTTGTAGCACGACAAATGGCACACCAGGGAGCCTCCCCAGATTCTTTGGGCTCCACATGCAGTTCTTATGCAAGAACAGTAGGGTAAAATGAATCCTAGTATTTGTCAAAACCTGCAGTCAGAGACCACAACTGCTACTTGCCTCAGAGAATGGTCCAAAACCCACTACTCACTACATCACACCTCAGCTCAGGATAAAGTGAGACAAGAGGTGTGTTAGTGAGGTAGTGAGGAGTCCAATGGTTTTGGTAGGAAAGCACACCTTGGTGCCTATTTGAAGGGAAAGGGCTGAGGATGAGTATGGATGACAGTAGGGAGCCGTGAGACCATAGCTCACGGTGCCAAAAGTGTGCAGTACTGAAGGCGTAAAGCCTGCAGGAGATGAGGTTAACGCCCAGTTTTGAGAAGGTATAAGCAAACACTGTTGTCTTGGAAGTATATGCTACTGTCACGTCTTGTGCAACACCAACTCAGAGAAACTTAATGGTAAAAATCTGGACTCTATGGCTTGTGTACTAAAGTTAACTTCGATCACAGCGAATCAAATGTGAAGCTTGCAAACAAGCTCAGGCCAAATTTTTGTTTGTCTACTCACTTCTAAAGGCAAATTTTCTCACCACGCTTTCTAATTGTGTGTCATTCTTTTCATTTCTTCCATTACATAAATAAGTTTTTTTTAATGCCATAGGAATTAAGAGTGTCCCCACCCACATTGCTGTCAGAAACATAATCAATTGGCATATTCAAACTTTCCCTGAGGTGAACAGAATCACCTGTCAGTTAATACATAGTCTACTTGAACCTGCTTTTTGTTGATGGCCTGACACTACAGAGAAGACATTCCCAGAAGAGAAGATAAATCTAAGCAGATGTTTCTCTGAGCCTTTGAGAGATTGCCAACTGTGAATTCTTTATTTAATAGAAATTTTGTCGATGTATATGAAATATATTTTAGAAAATTAAAAGCAGCAAAACCCTAACAACAAGAACATGAATATGTCCACCTTTCATCAAAAAAATAATCTTGTCTTGAAACGTAAGTGTACACAGTGAACAAGTAGCACCCTGTGGCTTATCAACAACAAATTACACACATTCCTCTGTGTATGGCTGTTTAGTTCCTCGTAATGCCTTGGTTTCAGTGAGTTTCATGTTAGGACAACATCCAACACATTAGCATATGGCTAAAGTAAACTGTCCTGGGTAGGAGAGCCTGGTGAATAAGGAAAGATGCTACTGTTTCTTAGACATAGCAGAACTGACTTTCTATTCCCCACAATTTTTGGCAAAACTGTCTGCCAGGCAGTGATTTAGCTACCAAATTTGCATAATCCCAGATCTCCAGTCATGCATGATAAAATACATGTGAATTTAAGAGGAGAAAATGAGTAATAAATGATATTTTCAGCAAGTATTTGTGAGTATGGTGATACATATGAAATTGCTCAAGCTAATTCAAAATTCAGTATAATATCATATTTGGAGAGGAGGACCTAACATAGAGATGAAAGTATAACAAGAAAATACCCATACATTGTATCTGCATGCCTCCTCTTTAGCCAAGCATAACATGAAAGACATGGAACCATGGCGTTATCCATTTTATGTGCTCCTTTAGCACTAAGACATAGCATAGGCAGCCAGGTTTTGTTTCTTAGTGTATGTTGTACTGGTACTCCACCCTTTCCTACCCTCCTCTAATTTCTTGTTCTCTTTTTTTTTTCCTTTGAAATAAAAGGAAGTAAAAGTGAAGGAAGTGAAAGAACTCTTGGTTTTGTGGATAAACAACAATTATTAAAAAAAGACTGTGAGATAATGCAGCTCTGTGTTATTTCAGTCAATTACATATCAGAACATCAAGTGGATACAAAAGAGGTATATTAGATAAAGAGATCATCCAACAGCATTAGAAATTTAGGTTTTAAAAGAACTGTGTTATCTGCAGTTCTTTTATTTTCCATTTAATTGGCTAGGTGTTTTTTTTCCTTTAGATTTTTTCCCCTGTCACCTGAGTTTCTTTAGACTGTGTTTTCCTTTCTACTAGGAATAAAATTGTGTGTATTTACACATATCTATTTGAATGGATGAAATAACTTCTTTACTTCTGCAGATTTTTCTGAAGAATTCTATATGAGAAGTCATTAAAGAGGCTTTGCCTTCAGATGCTTAAAAATGTAAATAAGACTATGTTCCCTTGATCAGCAAAGAAACATAAGACTAAATCTAATTCTATGATCTACATAATTTCTTCAAGGTAAGGAAAAATGTGTATACGAGTAATCTTTGGCACCAAAAATAAGGGCACCTTCTTGTATGTCTTCAAATCTGTACACAAGAGAAAAATTCCTCTTTAAAAATGGATCAAAATGATCTCTGAGGGGTTCAGTGTAGTGAGTACTGATCGCAGTAGCTAGAAAAACACTTGGGATGTTAAGGGTTGTGTGACAGCCGGATACAACACAATAACACTAGATAAAATATTTGATGTTCCCCTCCACCCTCTCATGCCTATGAATCTTTTTTCCTTTAGACAATTCCCAACAGATATACTTCAGTTAATTATAACATCTTTAACATCCTTTAAAGGATCCAATACTTAAAAGCAAAAAAACCCCAACCAACAGCAATAAGAAAAACAGCAACAAAAGCTGAGTTTATAATACAAGATCAGAAACAGTTCTCTGACTGAAGGCATTTACTGATTTGTTTGATCTTCCAGACTTCACTTTCTCTACTCAGATCCACACGATCTTTTCTGCCAAAGCCTGGTTTATCTGCTCAAGAAAACAGTCCGTCCACTGGGTATTTCTTCTGTGGACTGTCTGACCATAGTTGTAAATCAGCAGGCTCTATTTTTCTTCTTCAATTCATGATGAATGTGTCACTGAATCCTGTAAACACTACTGAATATACATTCAAGCTTTGTTCTTAGTGAAAGTGGCACTTACTTGAACCCTTGCAGTCAAGATAGCTTAGTTACATAGCACTTTACAGGTATAATAGCTGGTTATGCACTTCTGATAAAATTCCTTTTTCCAATGGCTTTGTGGGTATTGAAACAAATCCCCACTCTGGTCCCATTGCCATTCCACAACATCTTTATGATGAAGTGTGTATTCTGTATTTATTGTACTTTGCATGTGCTTTATTGCTGTATGCATTTCCCTGTTGTTAATTTAAGTGCTCCTCTATTATGTAATACGTACAACGTTTTAAACTCTAATGGCATCCTATGAGGACTGGCATTAGAAAAGTACCGATATTTCAGGTCATCATAATAATGATATTTGACTGGTTTTCCACGTAAATCCTTTGGGAACGGCCAAAATCCATACAGATGAATTTCATCACAAAATCTGGTGGCAAGCGTATACATGAGGAGACCAGTGCTGGGTCGTTTAATGTGGACCTTGTTTGTCAGCCAATAGCTGCAAAGAAAGAAAAAGTATATCAAGAAACTATCGTACAACCTCACATGAATAAATCCTGTGAACTTATTTTATCTACTATGTGATGATTTTACACTATGAAAAGGCGAAAGTTTCATTCTTTTCTCTATACTGGGATTGTAAATGATGACACTGTCCTGGTGCACCTCTATTCCTCTTTGAAGAGGATAAGCAAGGTCTTATACAACATAGTGTTGAAGAAAAGCTGGCAAACTAAGGGTTTTAATTTCAGTTTTAATCCTAAACAGAAATCATGATGTCTGCAGACACTAGAAAGCTGTAATTAATCTTCTCAACCAGACCAGGGAATAGTCTCTTGCTATAAAATCCAATCCCTTGCAATAAGTATCCAATTCACCTGATCAAGTCAGCCCCACAATGAATATTTGATTGGCCTAGTGATTACTCTACAGATTGCTTGTCTAAGTAAAAAGCAAATGGAAATAATAAACATAACACTTGAGAATGTAACTTTCACAAGTGAATAGAAGGGAAATTTTAATTACTTGCTTGTGATGAAGCTTCCTGGTTGCTACCAGGAGTCTTCAAAAAAGCAAAATCTTACATTAATGGTTTTTAAAAGTCTTTGTTTTGCACTCAACAGGTCTGACTGAAGCTTCAGGACAGTTCTTCTGAGCCAGTAACAACACGTCTGGTTATGCGTTGAGAAGCACCACAATGTTTTCAAAGAGGAAAATGGGAAATTATCTGGATTCCATCATGTAGCTCACATGGGTACCTTCAAAATCTGCCACCAATACTGTTCTACATCCCTAACCTTCAAAAATAGAACCACATTAAAACAGTGTCAGCCTATTATTGGTAAAACACTTCTTCCAAGACGGATTCAATATAAAGTTTGTTTAGTATTTTATAGAAATAAAAAAGGTTATTTAGATTCTTAAACATGGTCATTCTGTTGGTTCAGACAAACAGCAGCCATGCACACAGTTGTACTGGTCAAACTGTGGGAATGTGCAATTCCAAGTAAGGGAGATAAGCATTACACAGTGTTACCACACAAATGTAAAATTATTGCAATGTGTCACTATACTCTTAGTTGTAGGCTGTGAGTGGCTTCTACCGTAGTCTAGGAAGGGGGTCAAGGTAGATAAACCTCATCAGACCAGAGTTAGCCTTGGCGTAAACAGGGTTACAATAGGTTGGAACTTCAAGTACAGAAACTTTAAGATGGATGTAAAAGACTTCAGTAATTCACCAAGAGGAACAAACCCTGCTCCCGCTCCCCCTCCACCCCAGGATGAGACAGGATAGCAAAACTATGTTTTTAATCAAAGCTTAAAGTGTCCTAAAAGCACCAGATAATGTGCAACAGTTAAATTAACCGTTCAATTGAAACTGGCCTTTTTAGTCTCATTGTTTGCCAAAACCACAGCCTTGAACCACAGATACCTATATATGTAAAAGCTAATTTTTATTTTTGAAAGCTAAAGGCCTCTGCAAGCAGACAGCAGTTCTAGACTGAGTGATTGCTTCTCCAAAGCGAAGATAGGGAATGACTCAGAATTTTGCTTGGCTGTAAGCAACAGGATGGTAAAAATCATATTTAAAGAACAAATGCAATTCGAAATGGTTAGGTGTACAAATGATAAATGTAACATTTGTCATTGTCTTCAAAAACACAAGTTTTCAGACATAAGATGCTAGGTAGTTTGCTTCTTATTCTGATAAACTGCAATACTGAAAAACAAGCTAAAGAAGAGACTAACTCTAGAAGATAAATGTTTACTTATAGGAAAGTTATTGAAGAAATCTGAACACTTTTAGCACTTCAAATCACAGAAACAGCAAAACAGATTAACAGTGAAAGCTAATGGCTGTAGATGCATTCACTAATGAGCAGTTCTGTACCTGTTTTCAGTTTCTGGGGTTTTATTATAACTTTAGTTTAAAGCCTAAAGATACTCTTCTGACTTATTTTTCTGGGATGAGGTAATTTTCTGTATAACTAAGATTACACTATGAAGGAAGTAATTTACCATGCAACCATGTGAGGCTCTCTCTTTTGACCAATTCCTCATTTTCCAGCTGGATAAAGAAATAAGATTAATTGAAAAAGGAGTAGGTGCATCTCACCATATTAGAAAATGGGCATCACTGTGACTATAACTGGAAGGCTGCAGTCACACAGTGCACCACTACAAGTGCTCTCTTGTTCTCTCGATATTTTGTGCTAAAACAACTCATTTGTGGGCCTGAAGGCTGAATTTATTGAAGATTTCCAAATTTACAAAATTGTGCCAGTGTCTAAACGCACTTCAATTCTATAATATTGGTGACTTGAAGCTGACTAGCTTGAAATCCAAGAGATCTTGCTTCAAATTTATTTTAAGTACATGGCTGATGGTAATGTAGTAGAAACACCGGCAAGGTGTTGTGACTTTCAGCTGAATAGTAAAAAGTTAAAAACAAACCTCCAGGAGGAAGGGAAAAACACAGTACCCCCAAACACATAAAAAAGCCCATGGAAGAATAGAGAGTATGTTGAACTATCTGCAATGAAAAGGAAGGTCAGATCAGTACTTAGACAGGTCCATGTATTGGATTTTTATAAAACTGGACTTTACAAATATCATGTTTGCAACAGGTAACTAAAGAAACCCACTCTGTAAGATTGAAGGTCACCCTGCTGACAGCAGGGGACTGCTAAAATTCTCTCTCTCATGAAAAGAAGGTATATTCAAACAAGTATTGGTTCTTCTAACAATGCCCTTCTGCTTCTACTCCTTTTTTTCTTTTTCTTTTTTTTTTAATATCATTCAGTCTATTTTCACCTCAGCTCCTCATCCCAAATCCAAGCATCCTGTACCTCCAAAACCTTTTACTTGCCTCAGACATATTAGGCCATGCCCACACATGTGAGACCTTCTCTTTCATCCAGCACAATATGGATCTCCCTTCTGCAATCTTTTCTTTACTGGACATACACACTTCAAATAGATTTCACATGATTTTAAAATCTGAACAGTGATCTCTTGCATGTTTCACTGTCTGTATGTTATGGACAAAAGGGAAGTAATCAAAGACAATGTTGGTATTTCTGTTAAGACTGGAGACAAGTACTGTCAATAATGGATATGCACCAGCATTATTTTAACACTTTCTGGTGCTTCAGAAATAATTTTTTCCCCTTCCCTTTTAAAGTTATTATCTTAATGAAGCCTAGCTCTTACATGCAGTTCCACACCATGTATAAAAGACTTAGATGTTTTAAATTTCTTTATGTAAAAATGTAATTTTTTGTGAAAGACTATTCTTTGTCTCTACCAATATAACACCAAAATCTATTAAAGCTATATAAAAAAAATTGATTTTAAATGGAGACATGGGTACCAAAACGAAACATCTCAGTAACAACGACTTCTACAAAAATCATGAGATCATTCCTATTGGAAGGAATGTCAGCAGATCTCTAGCCCAACTTCCTTCTCAGAGTAGTGTCCCTCAGACCCTGCTGGCTGGGCCTGTGCTCCAGCCCAACTACCTTTGCAGTTCCCAGTTCAACTTGCTTCAGTTGGACAATATCTTTCCTGCTTAGGGGGGCCCACAATAGGGTAAATTTCACCAGGTGTGGTGTAACAAGTGCAGAGTAGAAAGGGGGTAATCACTTTCCTTACTTGACCAGCTACAGTTCTGCCGATACAGCTCCAGATGTTTTGTCCCTTTGCTGACAAGGATCACTGATGGCTAGTGTTCTTGTTGCCTGCCAAGGCAAGTTTTTTCCAACAGAGCTGATTCCAGCCACTCAGACACCCACCACCTTTAAGTCTGCAAGGGCTACCCCCTCCCAGGTGCAGGATTCCACATTTGTCCTTGCTGAGTTTTCTCCTGTTAGATTCTGTGTCCTGCCCCATCATCCAGCTGGACTTTGACATCTAATTTTCCAGTCACCCAGACCGCAACATCCTAACTTGGATGCAAGAATATTGTGGGAAACAATGCCAAAAAACTTAATACCACTGAAACATATGACAATCTACTATACTGTTCTATGCACAAAAAAATGGGTACAATTTAACAAACAGAAAACGTAAATTGTGAAGCCTGTGAAAATTGGTAAAAACTCTTAAAGTGGTACTTGTTCAGAGATGCATGTGGAGATTAGCACTGGTAATTTCAGGTATTTGCATGCCAATTGCTATTCTCCCAGAGCTTTAAGAAGGTTTTCCCCTTCAAGTAAAGAAGGAGAAACTGTAAAAATTCTTTCTGTCATGAACATCAAGTCACATACTTGCTCTACCTCCATCAGAACCAATGGGATTACACTGGAAAGTAAGAATGCAAGAATTTGTTTCTGTTGATGTCTACAAATTCTCAGTCTACTTGAGCTTTGGATTTCTAAATATACATTTGAGTATTTTTTTTTTTGAAACATTTTTCTGTGTTTTCCAATCCTCACAAACATTAATCTTTTCTAAACTTCAGCTGACCATACACTATTTAACTCCACTTTCCATGAAAAAAATTTTAAATAAAGTGAAACCAAATGGAAAACAGAGTGTGAGCAGAATATAATAGAAAACATTCCTTCTTTGGTCAGCAGTAACCTTCTGGCAAAATGGTCATCCCCAACCACTGGTACAAGACCTGAATACTTGCAAACAACTCTTTGCCAACGGGCTCCAGATTTAGATTTACAGACCAGGTGTACTATACTCTGCTCTTAACCTTGTGTCAGCAGTAAAGGGGTATGTTTTGTAATGATCTGGAAAAAAAATAGGAACCACAAAGGGACGAAGCATTAGTGGAAAACTCCTTCCACAACTGAAAATAAGCAATTAAAGATGTAAAAGTATGCCTGATAAATATGAGATACATACATTTTTTACAGCCATAAGCACTGTTAAAAGATTGTTTTGTCACTAACACTTTGTCTTAGTGTTTACAGAATTTCAATATTCTGCCCTAAAAAAACACTGAACCTGCTTCTGCCAGATCAAAATATCACCTGTGGTTTA